TTATATCACATGTGTATATATATATATATATATATACGTACATATGTATATATATATATATGTCTTATACATGTACATACATACATACATACATACATACATACATACATATATACATACAAACATACATACATACAAACAAACAAACATACATACATACATACCGACGTACGTACGTACATACATACATACACACACACACGTACATACATACGTACATACATGCATACATACATACATACATCCACGCATATGCATATGCATATGCATATGCATATGCATGTGCATATGCATATGCATATATATATATATGCATGTGTGTATATGTGTAAATATAAACATAAACTTAAATATGTATATATATATATGTGTTTTATCTATTTATCTATGCTACCCCCCTCATGTACCCACGCTTTGTTCTTGAATCGTGTGCGAAAGCTTACATGGGATTTCCTTTACTCGTGTGGTAGCATAACTGTTCATTGCTTGCAGTGTGTTCTACACGTACGAGAACGTTTTTGTTACCCATACATATGTGCATATTTATGTGGTTGGTGTCGACAGACGTTGCACACATAGTGGGGGGCGTCGCCACTGCCATATCCCGTTGACCTTCACTCGTTTTTGCAGTGAACTACCTTGTCGCGCGCGACCCCAGGAAGGTTGAGCTTGTAGCTCTTGGCAGAGTCTGTGCGCAGGATCACTTTGCGATCACGCAAGAGCTCGAAGCCCAAGGCCTTCCACTCAATCTTCCTGATGGGGCACGCTTCACGGTGATCTTGGGCTCTAATTTGCGAAGAAGCAAAGTCTCGCGTTGGCCGCGTTGAATGATGCCGCCCACCGCTCCCACATCATCACGCAGTCTTTGGATTGGATCAAGTGTTTGAACTCCACACCCTGAGATATGTCGCGTCTGTCAAAGGTAGCCCCATCAGCCTCGATCTCCTTCCAAGACTTCCCATCTCCGAACACAATCTCCTTCTCCTTCTTCTCGACATACTTCAGCCTGAGCTTGCAGATCTTTTTCTCCATGTCCTCAATTGCGTTATGGTTGATGTCGAGAAGAAGGTGGATGTTGCTCTGAGGAATCTTGCGCAACTTGAGTATAGTGTGAGCGGCCTGCGTTTGGAGGGACTGAGCCTGCGGTCCTTGGCTTTCGGTGAAGAGTGGGTGTAGATGATGCGGGTTCATCCACACGTGGCAATTGCCATGACTGCACCGATGTTTGAAGCAACCGCTGGGATCGAGCTGCAGCTTGGACGAGGTGCCGTTGGAGCAGGTGGGCAGGTCTTGCCCTCCCATTTTGGGATGAACTTGTCGGCGATGGGGATGTTGATGATCTCCTTGTCGGAGGCTCGCAGGAGCTGATGAAGCGTCCCTTTCCACTTGATTTGGTCCTTGCGCTGTCCACGAGGACCCACAGCACACTTCTCACGAACATACTTGACATTCTTCCCAGTAGTGGATTCCTTGGCGGCGGATCGCTTCTGGACCGATCTGAGCTTGACCTTCTTTGGCACGACGTTGCTGACAAAACTCTTGACCATAGCTGTCCACTGGAATAGAGGAAGGAGGCTGTGGCTGAGGTTTGCTGTGTGCCAAATGCTGCGTTTAGGACAAAGGCATTGCCTGCAAGCCCTAGACAGAAGACATATAGTCACACAGCTAGCACCAGTCACAAGTAATTCACAACACAAAGACTGTACAAATGCACTGCAATGTGCCGTCTTTTTTGCCTGTACTTGCTTGCGATGCGATTTATAGTGCCCGAGCCCGGGGAAAGACCTCTGTTGCGCATGCGCCTAGCGGCCTCCTCGTCTGCCGTCATGCCCGGGTCAGCTGCCAAAGTTGGTGCCCTGGCTGGTCTCTCTCTTGGGGAGCGGCTCAATGGATGGTGTCTTGACACGCAGACGCTTGGCGGGAGAAGGTTAGCTGAATGCGCCAAGACGATTTGGGCGGGGCCCGTTGCCAATGGCCGGGAGGGTGGGAGGTAGACTCTAGTAGACCCATCGATGCACGCTGAGCATCGGGATCTTCATCTGATGCGTTGTCAGGAGACGCCGGGAGGTGCCGCGTAGGTCCAAGCCAAGCCCGCACTTGCGCGTCGCAATGTGACACATACTCATCTCGTGAGGTTAAGGTGGACATGCTCTCGACGCTCGCCTTGATCATCTCCTGCTCCTTGTTTACCTGGGCCTGGTTCTCAGGGGCGTACACGAGGACGCCGGATTTGTACATATTGTAGACTAGTTTGCACTCTTCTTCAAGCAAGTCTTTGCGCAAATCGTTCTGAACGATTCTATGGACGATAAAGTCCGGGTTGTCACTGGGAAAGCGCACGTACAATGCAGACTCAATCAAGACGAGGACGGTACTGCGTTTGAGAACTGCGAGCTTGTCCTTGATGTGAGCACCGCCGAAGAGCCTGGCCGGCTGTTAAGGCTATTTTT